GTGCCCAGCCTTCAACCTCGCCTTTTCTCTCCCCTACACAAAAACCACGCTTGTCCTAGCTCCCTTCCCAACCCCTCCCACACTACTGCTTTCACTTGTATACTTGCCCTTCCCCCTTCTCCCTCACTGCTCTCACATAGCTGTGTATTTTTCCAGTCTGCTTTTACCGGTTCTCACGGTCTCTTTGCTTGCAGATTCTTATATATATTTTTTTTTCTTCTATCCTGAAGATGGAGGCGATACTTTCCTCCGAAACGTCGGTTAACACCACATATACACGGTGCCAAATCCCAGAAGACTGCTTTCTTCAGTTATGGAATTGCCCGGAGGACATGGAAATCGACAAAGAAATTGTTTTTCCATCTTCTAGACATGAATATTCTCAATGCCTATTTATTGTGCAAGTCATGTGGTGAAAAAATGACACAAAGAATTCCGTGAAATCTTAGTGTGAGATTTGATTGTACAGTCACATGAGGCGAATATCACTGTCAGTACTGTTTCTTGGGGGAGACCCAGTCAGTGGCGTTTCCGGGGGGGGGGGGGCAAGTTCACCTGGGGCCCAACTGAGTTGACCAGAGGTGAAACATTCACAACATTGGCCATCCAAAGGGAAACAAAGATGTTGTGTTTGCTAATCAAGAAAACCAGGAGCGCCCTCTTCTATTGTAAAAAGTGCGATGTTGGTGTGTGTGTCGACTGCACGTCAGAGTGTGAGCACTGAATCATAAACTGTGAAGTGATGCAGTTCATGTTGTTTCCTTTGTGAAATCACACTGGATCATCGAGGTAAAAACGGATAAGAAATGAAACGCATTCGTCCAAATCTAACGTTTACTGGAGACTGAATGAACATTACAAGATACCAAAGGTACACACAGAAAGAAAGTAGCAGTGGGTGTGGTACCAACTTATGAACAATATATATCACCAGATAAATATGGCCAACACTAGAACTATAGTATTACAACACCTCCCCTTGTTGGACATATTTTACAGTCAAAATCTATAATTACAATAACCAAAAGTAAAACAAGTTTACAATTCCACACCGAATTTCAAACCTATCTTTAAAGACAGCTCATTTATCTTTGGACCATTAGTAGCTTTAGTCAGCATATCAGCACAATTAGTGCTTGAATCTACATACTGGATACTAATATCTCCATCATTAACATATTCTCTAATCTTATGTTGCCGCATTCTAAAATGCTTGTTGCGTTCAGTAATCTTATTCTTTGTGCACATATCATTTGCCTGTAAATTGTCTCCAAAGATTATACTAGGAGTAGATACTGCTACATTAATTTCTGACAGAAACTCTCTCATCCAAATAACTTCCTTGCTACACTCATATAATGCTATATACTCAGCTTCGTTGGTAGATGTGGCTACAATGTCTTGTTTCTTGGACTTCCAAGACACAGCTCCCTTTGACATCATGATAACATAACCCGCCACGGATTTACTGTCATGTACATCGTTAGCAAAATCAGAATCAGAATAAATTACTGGGTCAATTTCAGATTTTTCATAGGTCAGCCGGTATTTAATTGTATGTTTCAAGTATCTCATAATTCTCATCACCTCCAGCCATCTCCCTTTGGTCGGACAATGGCAAAACTTGCTGACTTGATTTGTTGAAAAAACAATATCTGGTCTAGTACAAGTGGCAATGTACTGCAACCTACCTACTGCTGCCTTGTACTGAATCTCATCAAAGGGCTTGTCACCATCGAGAAAATTGTTATAGTTTGGGTCCCTTGGAGTTACACATCCTTTACAATCAAGCATACCAAAAGTTTTCAGTGTTTCATTCACATAATTTTCTTGATGTATTTTAATTACATATCCATTGGGTCTATCCACATTAATACCTAAAAAATTTGACACAGGTCCCAAATCTTTAACGTTTAACCTTTGAGAAAGTTGTCTTTTGCAGTCATTCACATCCTTTCTAGTTCCACAAATAATCATATCATCGACATAAATAGCCACAATAATCCTGTCATTAAAGAAAACACATGGATCTTTAGTACACTGTTTCAATCCGAAACTGACAAAGATGAAAGTAATAGTATCATTCCAGTCCTTCCCAGATTGATGTAATCCATATATGCTTTTCAAAAGTAAACATACATCATCAGCATTACCCTCTTCAAACAGTTCGGGTTGGCGCATGTATACAATTTCTTTCAGAGTACTATTTAAATATGCACCTACAACGTCGACATGATCAACCTCCCATCCTCTATCAACAGACAAAGCCATTAGGATCCTAAAGGACGCTCGTCGCATTACTGGGCTATAGCTATCCCAGAAATCTATACCATAAACTTGATGGAAACCTTGGGCTACTAACCTGGCTTTATACTTAAAAGTGCCATCATCTTTCTTTCTCAGGCTAAATACCCACCGGGAACCTATAACATTAACATTCTTTGGTTTTCTCACAACTTCCCAAGTTTGATTTTTCTTCAAGTTCTCTATCTCTAATTTCATTGCTCCAATCCAGTGATCTCTATCAATTCTACTAAGCGCCTCCCCTACAGATTTAGGTTCTGCCAATGTAATTTCACCACAATCTACTTTAGCACAACATTCACATACAACTTTCTGCTTAATAGTTCTCGTGGTTCTACGGGGTTGTACATTTTCTTGGGGTACATTTTCCAAATTATCCACATTTATGTCATTACCTACTATACTAGGTTTATCATCATTCTCATCTACACTGGGATGTGACCCACCCACATTGTCTTCTGTATCAGTACAGTCTGAATCATATACATAAATGGGTGTTTCACTCTTAGTCTGAATCACAGTCTTTCGAATAATAGTCTTATAAGGAAAAACACTTTCTTCAAACCTAGCATCTCTGGATATGCGAATCTTCTTCTCATTTACACTATAGAGTCTATACCCTTTAGCGTCCCTAGCACTACCAAGGTAAATACATTCAACTGCTCTGCTGTCAAGTTTATCCTTGACATTTAAATTCAGATCCCAAGCCCTGCAGCCAAAAACTTTCATTTCTCTGGCCATATCTATAGTAAATGCCTTCTTAGACCAGACTTCAATGGGAATTCTTCCTTGGATTGCTTTAGATGGGCAACAATTTCTAATATTACTTGCGGTGAGTACCGCCTCTCCCCAGAAAGACTTCGGCAATCCTGCATTCTCTAATATGCAACGAACAATGCATAGCAAAGTTCTATTCAACCTCTCAGAGCGTCCATTTTGTTGTGGGGTTCTAGCTACACTTAACCTTCTGCCTATTCCTTTCTGATCCAAGTATTCATTAAATGCTGCACTGCAATATTCTCCCCCATTGTCTGATTGTAAAAATTTAATTCGTCTCTCTTGTAACACTTCAACTTTCTCTACATATCTTTGAAAGGCTGGTAATACATCACACTTGTTTGTTAAAACTTCAACAGTTGAGAATCTTGAGTTATCGTCTAAAAAGGTTACAAAATACTGTTTCCCACCCAAGCTTTGTGGTGTAATTTTTCCACATACATCTGAATGTATCACCTCCAAAACATTCTCTGCACTTTTGGAATTCTTACAAAATTTCTTTCTGTGTAACTTTCCTGTGATGCATACATCACAATTTAATTGACACTCATCTACACCACAAAACTTTGGTAGGGTTTTCATATGTCCAAATCTCTGATGCCATATGGCTTCACACTTCAGGGCCTTGGCCTTCATAAGATTCATTCTCTTTTCTATTTCCATCTTACTACTTATACTACACATCAAACTCTTGCCTGACACTGTATAATATTCACACTGAAGATGGTATAATTGATCTCCCTTTCCCCTGGCTACAAAAATGACAACTCCATCCTTTGAGACTGTTATTATCCCATTCTTTATATGTGCTTCACAACCCAACCTATCTAATTGTCTCATTGACAACAAGTTACAATCCAAACCAGGTACATATGAACAATTATTTAATCTTAACTTCTTGCCTCCATATTCATTTGTTACCTTTAAGGCTACACTCCCTTTACCCAGCAAAGGAGTACTCGTCTTCCTTTTCGCCAACATGACGTTTCCTCTTACACCCTCATTTAAGTTGTCGAATATATCCTTGTAGGGCGTCATGTGGTGGGATGCTCCCGAATCAAGAATCCACAGATCCCTGAACTCCTCGGACCTACTTCCCGCATGGGCTGTCATGACAAATTCCTCTGTTGTTTCAATGTGTTCCTCCGCTACTACAGCTATTTCTTCTTCTTCTTCATTCTCCTTTTGAACTTCTGCTATTTTGGCGGTTCCCCCATTATTCTTTAGGACATTAAACTTTGGACACAATTTAGCAATATGTCCAGCTTGATTGCATGCAAAACAAATTACATTCTTCTTTACATTTTGGTCACAATTGATCCCTTTACTTTGGTTTTTGAATTTTCCATCACGTTTTGGGTAATAATTATTATTCTTCTGGTACCTAGATTCTCTTCTAAGTAAAAAGGCTTTTTCTTCTTCGTTGTTCTCAAAATCTCTGTGAATTTTATCTTGTTTTTCTGTCAGGTATAATTTGCTAATTACCTCTTCTAAGGATGTTTTGTCCTCTTTACTTGAAAAGGATAACATGAGATTTTCATATTGTTTGGGTAACCCGCTGAAAATAAAACCAATATGTGCTCCTTCACTAAACGGTACATTAGCATTCTTCAACTTCAAAATTAAATTTTGTTTCCTCGTTAGGTACTCATTCATGCTTATTTCGTCAGTCTTTTTGGTCAAAGCTAATTCTTCAATCATCAAGGCAATATGGACCCATGTGTACTCACAGTTTCGCCTTTTCAGCTTCTGCCAAACTTCTGCAGCTGTAGTCAGATGTGCTATCGACGGTACATATTTATCTTCTATATTCTCGGTAATAAAGTTAAGTGCTTCAAGATTTGTTTGAATCTGACCTGGTGTCCAATCCTCTTCTACTCCATCATATCCGGGCTCCACGGCTTCCCATTGCTTCCTCTTTCTTAGGGTTAGCGTTACGCGATGTTTCCAGATTGTGTAGTTATCGTCATTTAAAGGTTCTATGCGTCTTCGGTAAACTTCTTCTGACATCTTGAAATATTATATTGTCTTCTTATATCATCTTATTTACTTCCTTTCTTCAAAATTCCATGCAGCACGTGGGACCGAGAAATGGCCGTCTTTGCCGTTTAGGTCCGTACCTTCACTTATCCTATTGTCTTCACTCGTCTTCTGAGTCTCCAATCCGTTTTATCGATGTCCGGCGCAGTGCTTGAAGACTCTGGGCCCATAACCTGTTGTTTCCTTTGTGAAATCACATTGGATCATCGAGGTAAAAACGGATAAGAAATGAAACGCATTCGTCCAAATCTAACGTTTACTAGAGACTGACTGAACATTACAAGATACCAAAGGTACACACAAAAAGAAAGTAGCAGTGGGTGTGGTACCAACTTATGAACAATATATATCACTAGATAAATATGGCCAACACTAGAACTATAGTATNTTCATACTCACGTACAGTCTGAACAAAGGATTATAGTGTTATTATTTTGTACAAAATCAATATGTCTGAAGTTTCAAGAATGAACTACGGGTAAGTCCTTTAGAATTTCATAATATATACTATGATAAAGATGATATTTTGCATTTCATGACAAAATAATCACAGTATATTTTCATTTGTAAAAATTGCTCTTCTGTGTATATGTAGAAAATTTTATAGTTTTTCAGGCTGTTTTTAGTTCATATTTCTATATTGCATAGAACGGAAAATATGTAGTTTTTCTGAAAGTCTGCAACTTTAAAGACTTACGGCCATTTAAATTCAGGCCACAGCAAGCTCTCACCAATTTAAAAGCCCACACTTCAGAGGTTGATTATACCCATAAGAACATATTGAATTGAATTGAATTTATTTACATTCTATAAATTCTAAGCAGGTTAGTACCTTTGGATACAGAACAAGTCAAAAGGTTACATACATAAGTACAGGCAATTTTAGCTTAAAAATTAATATAACTTAATTTTACATCATTCTCTATTTACATTGAAGTATTCATCTAAAGAGTAGAAGGAATGAGCATGTAGATAATTCTTTAACTCTGATTTAAACTTTTTAGTATCATTGCCCAAGTTTTTAATACTTTGTGTCAGATTTGATAAAAGATGATGTTCCAATTCTCATAATCATTGTTGTCTGACTTTGTAGGGAGACGGAAGAAACCTAAGACTGACTGAAGAGGAAAGTGGTTTGACCTTGTTCCTGGAATATGCTGACCCCTCTTATGCAGGAGAATATCAGTGTGTGGCTGAAAATGATTATGAAGTGGGTAAGCACTGTAATGTAATTTCATTCTGCTTTAAACAGTTACCAATGTAACATAAAATTGTGTAACAGGGACATATTTCTTTCATTGTCAACACTAAAAGACAAAAATATGACTGACTAATTTCATGGATCAGAGTCCTTTTTGAGAATCTGACAGTTACCCATCTGCTGATAAAAGTCCCTGCCTCTTGCAGAACTGAGAATCTGTGTTGTAACACAAAAGCCCAAACTATGAATATTGAACATTATGGATATCTCAAGATGTCATACAGAATAAACATCTTGAAATTTTGCATGCCAGACTGGAGGAGATTGTGGGGGAAAAAATCAAAATGGTGGAGATCTAGGAGAATGGAAAGCAAGTTCTGGGTTCTACCACCACTCTGTTCAGCAAAGGTTACCTTACTCATGGTCCACTGCTCATATTTCAAGTGCACAAAATTCCTTTATAATGTTTAGCTCACTTACATGTGTTCTTACAAATTGCAGATGAATGGTACTGAAATGCATTTTCATATATATTTGCTCTCTGATAATGTGTCACAGAAAGCGTGACTAGATTGTCAGCGTAAATACAATTAACTAACCAGAGAAACCTGACATACATCACAGTAATATTTTGAAATGTTTGTCTCGCTGTATTTAAACCTGGTTCCAGATACTGGTGTCTCTGTGGGCAAGTATATTGAAGCTCCAGCCATGGTTGCTGTGGAAGGTAGTGTACTGGCCAGAGTGGGAGACACTGTTCAACTGAAATGCAGTGCTAAAGGTTATCCTACACCAGTCATTGGGTGGTCAAGGAATGAAGAGGAAATTGTCACCAGTTCCAAATATGAAGTCAGTATTCAGAAAATCCTTAAAGCCAATTTCACACATTTTGGTGTCAGAGCACTAATTGTGCATAATTTCTGAACAAATGTTTTTGTTCAGAAGTGAGAAATGTTCATAGTTTAAAGGAGAGATTTAAGATTTCATAATTATTAGAGATTCTTGTAGATATATGGACATACATGGTAGCTGCAAAATGTCCTGGGACAGTAGCCGTTTATGGCACATAGAAGCCTTCAGATGCAGTCATCATTAAAACATTATGCTCAGCTGTTGCACATTTCTGTTAATACGTTTGCAGCTTGCCAGAACATTTCTTGAAAAAAGTTATACAGGGGTGTCCAAAATGTACTCACTCTTTGTTAGTCAATATCTTTGGAACCAAATGACATGTAGTTACAATTCTTGCGCGATAGTGTAGTGTAATGTTTTCTCAACCGATGGCGAAGGTCACATGAGTCACATGAGTGTCATGCCGCGTGCATGCTGCAAGTAGAAGACAGCAACAACAGTGGCTGAGAGGTTGTTCTTTGAGCAACGCAAGGCTGTATTGAAGTGGTACTGGAAGTACGAAAACATTAAATAGGTACAAAAACAATGGCAGAATGAGTTTGGAACTCAGCCACCAACACATCGAACAGTTGCCCATATTCAGGATAACTTTGAAGCCATTCATGTGGGCAAGGAAGTGAATCTACTGGGTGTTAATGTATGGTGTGGTCTGTCATCGTGTAGTTTGATTGGTCCTTTCTTCTTTGAAGGTACCGTAACTGGTCAGGTGTATCTCGATATGCTTCAGACATCGATTTTCCCTGCTATTCAAGAGATGTTTGGAGATGAGAGATTTTACCTACAAGATGGTGCTCCACCTCACTACAATCGAGATGTCAGGGCGTACTTGGATGACACTATCGGGACGATGGATAGATCAAAGAAGTGCTATTGAGTACCCACCACTGTCTCCAGCCCTAACACCTCTCGACTTCTACCTTTGGGGAACCTTGAAGGATGAAGTTTATCGACAAAAGCCAGCTACACTGAATGCGCTACGAGAAACCATCGAAGCATCGTGTGCAGCCATCACACTGGACACACTGACAGCCGTAGTTCGCTCAGTAGTTCAGCGGCATCGACGCTGTTTAGCCGCTGATGGTGGTCACTTTGAACACATACAATGACTCTGTCTCTCTCCACACAAGAATTGTAACTACATGTCATTTTGTTCCAAAGATATTGACTATCAAAGAGTGAGTACATTTTTTTGGACCCCTCTGTATATGACTTCCTGCAGTGCAGTCTTTGAAGTCAGTTGAATACCAATTGCATCCTTCAAGTGACAGCCGATCTTTCAGCTTTAGTGTGAATTCCTTGCAGGCCAATCAAGAGAGGTATAAGAGTATTTTGTGGGTTGTGGAGAGAGAGTGAGAGATGAGAAGAGAAAAAATTAGTTGTAGTTCAGTTTCGATTTATGCGATTTCACCCTCTGCATCTTTTCTATGGAACACACCCATCACATAGCTCAAGGAGTACTTGTACCATGAGTTGCTACTGCACACACAGTGCTCGATCACTGTTCAGGAGTTCCAAGTCATGGCCAGCCACAAATCAGATCACTCCAGACAAATTATTTACCCTGCACTTGAGAGCACCTCATTATTTACTCTGTCTGTGTGTGTCTGTCTCTATATTCTTGTTGCTCCTAGTTGGAGCATAGTGCATTCATGAAATGCTTTGTTTCACTTCTGTTTCTTAATCTTAGACAGATAGTAGGACTCCTTGGACAGGGGATCAGCCTGACACAAGGCCACTATCTGCACAGGACAACACAAGCACAGAATAAATGCAAACATCCATGCCTTGAGTGGGATTTGAATCCATGATCCCAGCATTTGAGCAGGTGAAGATATTTCATGCCTTAGGCCCCACAGCCACTGTGATCAGCTCTAATACCCTTAAAGTAAACGTATGGCACATGATGACCTGCCGCTTATGGAAGACTTCTAATATTACCTTTCCTTTCAAGTTGTTCTGCCAGTTATTATGGCTCTCGGCAATGACAGTGAGTTCCACACAGAAGATCATCAATAATGTTGTTGACAGTACAGGAAATGCTAGGTTTTGTCACTTGCAGTAATCTTTTGGAGAAAATCCAGACTTTGTTTTTATGAGCTTATTATTGATCTTCAAGTGGTCATTGCATTGCTTCTGCATCATAATTTTTTATGCTACATGTTGGCAGAAGGGCTGAGATAGCTCAGTTGCTATAGAGATGGGCTGGATGTCCGGGTTTCAATTCTCAGCACATGCAAGAAATTTTTCTCTACTCCACAGCATCGAGACCAGCTCTGAGGACCGCCCTATCCCCTTTACAATGGTTACTGGGGGCGTTTTCCCCATGGTAGAGCCGCTGAGGTGTGGAGCTGACCACTCACTTCCATCTAGTGCCGAACTCAAGAATGGTGGAGCTATTCCTCCTCTTTGCCAAATGTCTTCTTGGTGTAGTGCTTAATTTATTAAACACAGGGACAAATTTACATTACGTTTACTATATGTTGGCAGACATGTTGTTCTTTATGTTTATCTGAGGGTCCTGTGACAACCAACAACTAAAATTAACAAGTTTTCTGCAATTATCTCTGTTGTCTGATGACAATCAAAAGCACACAAACATCTGCATGTGCCATACAATGTTCCTTGATGCTGCAGGCTGTTCACTGTACACATTGTTTTTTAATGAGTCACAGCCATCCCTGAAGCTCTGGTACCGCTCAGATACCTCAGCTGCCATACATATACACTGTTTGAAACATGAGCAAATTTCTCATCACTGACATGCCCAGTTGCTGGACCAATCTGATATTTGAAGAGTTCTGTCTTCTGGGATATAACACCATGTAGTCTGTTGAAAGTCAGTTGAGGTTTTGGAGGAACATGTCGCTTCTATCTTAAGAGTCAAAGAATAAGAAACCCGCTCTACTTTCCACATGTATTTACACTGGTGTCTTGTTTGGCTTATTCTTTGACCCTGAAGATGGAGTCAATATTTTACTCAAAAATGTCAGTTGACTTTCAGTGAACTACACAGCATTATACCCTAGTAGATAGAACTCTTTATAGCCACTGCTGTGAGAACCTCAAATCCTATATTTGATATTTGTCTGCTCCATTTTCCTCCCTCTGAAACCTCTATGCAACACACTCTCTCCTGAGATCCAACACAGCAGCTAGTTTACAGATAAGTGAACAGTTCTGCCAGCTGTCTGTAGACAGCATGCATATCTCAGTCTGACTCCAGCCTGCTTGTTGTGACATAATTGTATTAACTTCTGTCCCAAAATGCTGAAGCTGCCATGTGTACCTGTTTGCAGGTAAGATGGAAGCTCCCTTTAGTAGAACCTGAGAACTTCATAAAGTACATAGACTAAAGGTACAGTATGCCCCAAAATATGCAGTACTGAAACTCGCACATCTTGAATGCGCATGTGCATTTGTCGATGGAGAATAGCTCCAGCTGCACGTGTTCCCAGTAGTGAAAAGGAAGTTATGTTGTGCAGTTGTTGGAAATGGGTCCCTCTACGGAGGAAAAAGTATTCATAGTTGAGTATTATTTCCACTCATACAGAAGTGGTCACCAGACAACTCGCTTCCTTGGTTTTGAGTGGCCAGATGTTATTGTCCAGAAACCGCTACATAGTACACGTGTGACAATATGGTGTGCCATCTCAGCACATGGTATATTAGGCCCCTATTTCATTGAGGATGAGGAAGGCAATGCTCTTACCATCACCCAAGAACGCTACAGGGACATGGTGATCAGACCATTTCTTCAGGATTTGGGAAGGTTCTGTCATGCAAGGGGCCACATGAATAGACAGTGGTATCAACAGGACATCTTTTAATTTCAGTATTGATATTTTTGGTGCATACTGTATATTAACATATTTACTCCCCATGCTGCAGTTTTACCTAAGAGCTGGAATAGTGCAGTTGGTATAGTGACTGGCTATGGGCTGGACGGTAAATGGGTCGGAGTTTGAGTCCTGGTAAGGTCAAGAATTTTCTCTTCTCTACATCATCCAGACCGGCTCTGGGGTTCACCCAGCCTCTTATACAATGGGTATAGGGGGCTCTTTCCCCAGGGATGAAGCTGACCACTCACCTTAACCCGTTGCCGTGGTTCGTCGTGTATGTTTCGTCAGGGATTTAAATCGTCTGGGGGGGTTCGACGTGTATGTTTCGTTCAGCTGCACACCTATGTTATAACGCCCATAATAATTGATGGTTTTGCTGTAGATTGTTAGATTTTTCGCTGGCCTGTTGTCAGTAGAACAGAGTATAAATAAGACACGACTTTATCTGTGCCAAGTCATCGTTACATATGCCTGTCTTGCAGCAAAGTTCCTGTGGTTCTGGCGAGCGGTTTCTAGCTGTACTGTTATGAAAGCGTGTTTTCTTTGCTTTGAAGATATAAACAGAAGAGACGTGATGTTTACTGTTGTATATGATATCATATTACCCTGAGCTGGCCACATTGACACACTCAACTGAAATTCTTAGAATAGGGTTGTCCAGTAATTTATTCTCGCATTATCCATTGATTTCGCACAGTACAAAGGCCCAGTTCTGAGAAAAACGCCACAATTTAAGGCAGAACACTGTGGTCACCCCCTGAGACGATA